TTATAATTATTTGAAGGTTGACTTTTTTTGTATTAAAAACACTTTTATTGGTCGCATGAAATATGCTAATTTTTTGAGATGGGGATTTTTGATTTTTCTATACTTTTTTGCCAAAATCCTCTATATTAAACCAAGAAAAGGCTTGAACTACTTCAGCTGGTGTGCAATTATATGATAGTTTAATGTTTATCAGTACATTATAGAAAATAATGAACTTTATCACAATATGCTAATTTTTTGAGAAGGACCTGTAAAATTCCTTAAAAAAATTACTTATACACTATTTTCAAATTCAAGGCCAGAGTATGATTTTCTTTTTTCCCCCCTGTAATTAAAAATGAAATGTTTTTTTCATATCGATTGTAAACTTCGAATTTATGATTCAATATAACAACATAAACACATTTAAAAGTTGAAGGATAATAGTACTTAATATTACTCATATTTATGTGATCTTCTCAGCTTCCACACTCCAGTCAGAACATTCTGGTCTACCCAAGCAGTTTTTTTAGACGTTTCTAGAACCAAAATGAAATCCAGAGGTGATCGGGCTTTTGCAGTTTCTGCTCCAAAATTATGGACCGGCTTACCTCTTCATATTAGGTCCACTGAGACTTTTAAATCTTTGCTGAAAGTTCATTTCTTTTTTCTTTTTTTAGGCTGAGACAGAGCTTGAGGTTCAATCAGAGCTGATGGTGTGTTTGATTGTTTTTGTTTTTATTGCATGTTTTTGTGTTTTATTTTTAAATTGCTTTAATGATACAAGTCCTTGACTGAATTGTGAAGCACTTTTCTTAGTTTTTGTTGTTTAAATGTGCTATATAAATAAAAATACATTTGACATTCGTATGTCCTGCGCCTGAGCGATTGGCTTTAAGTAACCGTGGCCCACTGAGCAATGTGGTTGAATAGCCCTGTATTAATTTCTAAAATAAGCGGCTTTAAAACCAGCATTGACCATCAACTACACCTCCCATAGTGATGTCAATCATGCATGGGAATTTATTGTTGGAAAGTAGGAGAATTCAGAATTCAAGACTTACCACAACTCAACAGTGAGTAAAACTCTCTTATTTTAACTTTTAATAGTATTTCTGTATTATTCCTTTAACATTTAGTCAGTCCTACAAGTAGTACATTTCAGTGTTTATAAGAGGATGTGTTAAAATGTTCCTATGCAGGAAATACCACATAGAGCTCAGTTATTGTTTGCTAGTGGTATTTTGTAGCGTGAGACAAGGAACGTGATGATATCTGTGTAGTCGAACTTAAACATGAAACGTTGAAGGTAATTATAACTGTCCCTTTGATGGCCACCATAATGCTCATGTGGCCCTCAGTGAAAATGAATTTGACACCTCTGATGTTATACAGACTGAGGTAGATTCAGGAAAAACAAAGCTGCAGAAGTTTAAAGCTTTTATGTCCTAGATCAGTTAGTCAAAAAAAATGCCCTTCACTGGAAACTAAAAAACTTCAATGTCAAAGTGAAATAAATTTTCTACAGACCTGTTAAACAAAAATAATGTAAAATAAGTGCATAAATATTCATGCTTAAAATGAATGTTGTAATTCAAATAAGAGAAAATAATAAAAAGTACAAATCAAGGAATGGAAACAGATTTCAGTGGCTTTTAACATACCCAGGAGTTCCATCCAATCTAAGTTGAATTAACACTGAAGTCACTTTAAAGAGGGTGAATATATTTATTTAGTCACTTATTTACATTATAACTATATTATGTACAGAGGTGTCAAAAGTATTCACATTCATTATACTGTAAGTAGAAGTATAGATAGGGTTTAAAATTACTTTTTGGAATAAGAAGTATCAACTCAAAACTCTTTACTCAAGTAAAAGTGTGAAATTACTGGTTTTAAAACTACTTAAAGTACAACAGTAATGTAAAAAATGCCATTTAAGACAAAAGCTCAGGCTTTGCAACATGGGTCTATTGCACAACCTTACCTCACCACAAAAAACATAATAGTGACCACAAAGTATAACAAAATATATTTATACTGTTCATCCAACCACAAACAAACTCACTATTTTTATGGATAGTTTTTTTCCCTCTTCTGAACGATGATAAGCCAGAATGAAAACAAGTCCAAATGAAATAAAAATGAAATACTTTTTCCTCTTTATAATGGAAGCAGTAGAAAATACAGATAATTGCATGAAAATATAATGAGATGTTAAAGGCAGTAAAATATAAGTAAACTTTTTATTTTTATACTTAAGGAAAGTAACAAAGTATTTGTCCTTCATTACTTGACACTACGGATTATCTCACTGGTATTACTCTGTAGGAACATGGTTTCACTTTGACACTTAAAGGTTTTTATGTTTTTTTTTAAAGGACCAAATACCTTTTGTTTATATTAGGATGGTATTAACGTTTTTATTTCAGCTGCTTTGTCAACATAATTTCTTTGAAAATGTAGCTGTCCAATAAAAGTTGACTTTGTTGCATAAAGTCAGACTAAACTGTCGGCGCTAGGACCCAGAGGCACGCAGGGTTTTCGGCCCAGAAGAATTAGCATACTTCCTCGTTAGGCCTGATTTATGAGAAGCTAGCGTTGATGCGTCCAACTTCCTGTTTACTCACCGGCACCTAAATTAAAAGCTTACAGTTTGTAAACTAACTGTATGCAGGATAAATAAAAGGCTATTCTTCTGGAGGCAAAATAAAACTTACACACTAGTAAAATTAATTAATTATTAAATTTTACTATTAAAAAAGTTGTAATCCTTAATTATTTTTCAATTCAATTTTTTTATTCAAAAAATATTCATTTCATTAAAAAAACAAAATAACTATATACAAGAGAAAACAAAGAAAATGCACAAATCAAAATAAAATGAAAGGTAACAGAAGAAGAATAAATCTTATAATGTCGGCCTCTTTTCTCCCCAGAATATATTCAAAGAAAACATAAACTCAAACAACAATTCATATAGCTTTACATTTACTTTCCCATATACCTTCAACAAACTAGATTTTATCTGTCTCTTAAATATATACATAGATCTGGCTTTTTAAAGATCATCCTCCAGGCCAATCCACAATCCTATACCCTGGATTAAAGTACATCTTTCTCAAGTACGAAAATAAGGCTTCACTATCTCGTTAAGATAATAACAAGTGTCTCTTTTAACACAATTTGCCTTAATGTTGAAAGGTTTCTGTGAGCCTTTTACATAAACAGTAAAACATTATAATCAACCAAATCATAGAATTTCAAAATTTTCAGTTTGCAAAATAATGTATTTGATGGATGATTGTAATCTTTGTAGTGATAATTCTTATGGCTCTTTTCTGTAAAACAAAAATTAGATTTGTAATAGTTTTGCAAGCTTTACCCCAGACTTCAATACAGTACTCATTATTTATCTATTATTATTATTATTATTATCAATCATGAATCAAATCAAAAGGAGTGACTTTTTTCGAGTGCATTTTTGTGCTAATTAATTCTTGCTGTTAAGCCCATATTTCTAACAATAGGCAACAATATGAATTATCTACCGTTATAAAGCAGTGTTTCCTGATGTTTTGAAGTTTCCACCGGATGTGTGTGTGGTTAATGTTTCCGTGTTGACGCATCTCCAGCTCGCTCTGTTCTGTGATCATGGCTGCACCGGACCTCACCAGCCATGTTTGCTAATTTAAAACCCAAAGGTTAGGGGAAATAGTTGTTTATTATTTATCGCTGTGTCATCTTCGCCCGCATATCCGCTAAACAGACGAAGGTTTAAAGTCGGCCCGCGCCTTCGGAACCCCGAGGACTTTTTAAAAGGTTGGACAGCTTTGGGTGAAATATCGGTAAAAACTTTGGATGGCTGGCGGTGAGGGAGGATGATGCTCTGCAGAAACTGCAGCATAAACATCGCAACTTCATCTGGCTGCTAGCTAAGTGTTAGCTCGCGAGCAAAAGGGAGCGCGTCCTCGTTTCTAAATCATTAGTATGTTTGTGTTTTGGTCGTAAGTGACAAACCGGCTTCTTGTCGCTTTCATTCACTTGGTTCTCGCCACTCGGATGGGCAACATGGGTCAGAACCAGCGTGGTTACGGTACCTGCTACCTGGCTATATGGCTAGCATCGCAACCTACTTACTCCGGATAAACGATAAGGATGCTATTAGTTAGCTTCTCGCCGTCTCTGTTAGCGAGGTTCTTTTGTGATGTTCCGGCTAAATAACCTTGGACCCACAACTGTAACGTTTACCGATCGATGTTTCACGTCAACGAGTGAGGGGAACATTTAATATAGTGAGCTCGTATCTCGCACTGGTGCATTAAATTGTTAGCACAGCCGTCTGGCAGCGCTTTAAACTGATGCTTGGTTCATTTGGGGGCACTGCTAGCGCCTCTAGGCTAACGCGGCGCCTGCCGTTGCGACGGCCTTGTTAAATTAGGAAATGAAGTATCCTGGAGTATCCGACATACTTCTCATGTCTTATGGTGTGTTTTTATTGTTACCCCCATCTTTCCATCATTAATTTACCACCCCCTGTTATTGGCGCTTTGTAATGCCCGTTTGTGTCGCTTTTGCCTGCATGTATGGCGACATTAAACTGTGGACGCCGTGCTCCGGTTAGCAGCGCTTTATCAGCCGTAATGATGAGCTCCTACCGTGATATCCCTCTTGTCCATTACACTCGCTGGGGCCTGGCATCTGCCGCTGCTGGCTGCGACATTTTGACGGTTGTTGTTGGAGCGAAATGGTGTTGTTTACATGCCGCATCACCCAAAAAAACACACGGTTTTGCTGGAAATGGCACCCCGTCTGTATTTGTGATGTAAACGAATTAATGTGTGTGTGAATCACTCGGTTGAGCATATTTATTGTTCGTTTTCTCGGCTGTTGCACCATCTTGTTGGGCGATTACCATCTTACAAGCAGAGTTATTAGTTTCGTTTCTTTCTTTTTTTTCTGTGTACATGTAGATGGACTCAAATAATCATTTCAACTATGGCACCCACTCCTCACCAAACTCAGGACTGAAACTCTCCTCAGGGGATTCTCTTTATACCAATGGGTCCTCCATGAGTTTTCCTCAACAGGGGAAGAGTGAGTAATTTAAACATTTGGATGTATTGATTGAAGATAGATTTGCAGCTGCAGCCTTTATAATAAAGATGAATATAATAACTTATGGTACTTTACAATGTGTATATGATATCTTTTGTAAAACAATGCAATAAGATTGCTGTAGGCAAGGCGTTTTACTCAGAGCTGTAAATTCTTGATGCCTTGTTAAGTTTTCCTCAATAACTAGTTTGTTTAGGATGTTTTTCCTTTGTAGTTGCTACAAAAGTCACCTAAAGTGTGTTTTAGTTGTTCATAATGCCAGAAAAGTAAAATTTATCTTATCTAAGATAAATGTCAGTGCTTAGAGAGGCTACCACTCAGTTTTCCACTCCCACAAACTGTTACTGTAACCCACTTCAGCCTTTTTAAAAAACGAGTTCTGTCCTTGAATCTTACAGATATGAACGGCGAAATGAATGTGAATGGCGTCACTACTGTACTTGGGTCGAGCGCGCCTGGTCCCCACCCGCCGCCGTCTGCTCCGTACCCACACATGGGCAGCCGCCACCAGAGCAGCGTGGGCTACGACTACTACTACCACCCTCAGTACGGTCCAGGCGTGAGCACGTCCCCGGGCCACGGGATGCACCAGAAGCAGCCCACGCCTGGGACGGCGCAGCCTCCATCACAGCACCACTTCCAGGGTCAGGGACAGTATCAGCTGAACGGGGCCGTCGAAAGCTCCCGCCAGCCCCCCGCTACAGCCTCAGCTAACGTCGCTCTGACCGGGAGCCAGTACTGGAACAGGAGCAGCCCCGGCTCTCAGCAGGTGAGTTACGACTCCCACGGCGTGTACGGCAGCTACCAGAGTCCGGCGCACCCGGGCATGGCGCCGTCGCAGCCGCACCAGCAGCCGTCCCTGCAACAGCACCTCCACTCCCACCGTCATTCGCACCAGCAGCACCAGCAACCGCAGCATTACGGCCTGATGTCGAACGGGATGCCCTACCAGCATCAGCCCCATCGCCCAATCGTGCCATCTCCACTGCAGCCGTCAACACAGCAGCCTCAGCCTCAAGGACAGGCTCCCATGATGCCCCCAACCGCCCAGAATCTGAGTCCTCCGCGCGGTAGCCCGCAGCACCACAGCATCGGCAGAGGGAGCACCAGCAGTCCTCTGCCCGCGGGGATGTCGCCAACACCAATTAAATCACCATCAGTGCAGGATAGTGGGTCACCCAAAGGTCACACCAGGGAACGGAGCCCCCATGCCACCAGTGTGGGGATGTCTTCTCCAGTGCACGGTAACACTTGTTTTCCTCTCATTTTCATGTTATTACAGTTGTACCATAAAATAGTTAGTTCTTCATTTAATATTGTTTCTTTGCTGATCCTATAACTTACTGATAAGTCAGTCAGTGCTATTCTACATTCCGTTTCCTCCTTTTAAAGCCAGAACATGAGTCATTCTAGTCATGTTTTTATTTCTCCTTTGTCGTATTTGATGCAGCCGCTGCCGTTTGATGATCTTGCTGAAATTTTGCTTTTCTAATGTTGCACAACAGCTTTATAGTGTATTTTGTACTCAACGGTTTTTCAGGTGTTGTAAAAGATAATAATAGAAAACTATTTAAATTGCACTTTCACTTGAATATAAATTATTTAGCAAGTCCCGAGTGTTACAGACTTTGACCACCAGGTGTCGCCGTTTGTCTGAAAATAAACTATCCAAGCGCTTCACTAGAGGCAACCAATGTCAACTGAATATTTACCAACACTGCCGAAAAGCTGAGGCTGACGGTAATGTTTTTTGTGTATGTGTGGGTTAGTGTGCCTGTCTGTTAGCAAAATATCTTTTGAACCACTGAATACATTTTAATTAAACTTGCAGAAAATATCGATGGGAGTTACATCTGCATCTAATTACCTTTTGGAGGTAAGACGATTCAAGATGTCCGCAACAGACAGCTGACCTTCAAAAACACAAAGATGGCTACAACTCAATCAATTTTACAAATACTGATATAAACAGTGTGGTCTTAAAGGGGACATATTTTGTAAAATCCAATTTTTTTAGCTGTTAAATACATTTTGTTGTCTATTTGGAACCTCTAGGAGTGCAGAGAGTTCGAATTTAGTCTTTGCCTTCATATCTTTTTAATTCTGTTTGGGTCATATTTTTTCAATATGTTCAATTTAATCTATTTTTTATGATGTTTTATGAATTATTACTTAAAATTATTTGCAACAGAACTACCAAATAAGGTTTGGACATACCAGCTACAATTTTGTTGTCTTCATTCTCCTCTCACTCTGGGTCAGACTGTGGCTCCAACATGTAAGGCTGGATGGACAAGTCTTCCCTTGTTGACATCTTTTAAATATTTTGTAAATAAAACAATTCTGCACCGCAAGATAGTCATAAACCCCTCTATCAAACTAGAATGAACCGGTCTGGAAGCTGGAGGGTGCTGGGGTATAAAGCACCTTATTTGGATTTAAAGAGACAGCCTCAAAATGAGTTGATCTGAGACACACCTTGGAAAGGGGGGTGAAAGAGGGGTTTGTGGAGTTACAATAAGGAGGAATTTAGACTAAAGCATTACAGTTCCACTTTCCACAAACTCAAATATGGAATAGAGTAACTACGTGTAACTGTTGTATTACCTTTATTTTCAGAGTTGCTTATATAGTTTTGACTTTGTGACTTTTTCTCTCTCAGGACATTCGAGGGAATCCATCAAAGAGGCTGACACAAGTTACAACGGCAATGAAAGAGCACCTGTTGCCCAGAGGTCTCCAAAAACAGACAGTTATCAACCCAAACCTGCCTCTGTCCACATGAGTCCTCAAAGTGATCGTCATCATCATCATCATCATCATCGCTCGGATCAGCCAGCAGCTCAACATCCAGAAATGACCTCCCCTGTCAGAGATTCTGTTGTTATCTCACACCCACCGTGTGTGTCATTGCCACTCTCTGCGTCAAAAGTAGGGACCTCAGCATCTTTAACAAAAGCCTCAACTCCACCAGGGGTCTCTGCTTTGTCCGGATCTCCCACACCTCCACCTGTAGTTTCATCCTGTGATGTTGAGCCCGTGCCTCCGCAGCTGTCAGGACCTCCCAGAACGTCGTTCGCTCCATCTGCAGTTGCTTCCTCCAGACGTTCCTCACCTCCTCGGGCAGTACAAGCACTCAGACCTCCCGCCTCTTTGGCACCCGAATTATCTCTTGAAACTCCAGAGCGCCTTCCAGAGGAAGCCTCTTCTTCCCCGCCTGTAGCTCCTCCAAAGCTTACAGCATCTCTCGCTTCGACCGAGCGCAGGTCTAGGCTCGCAGCAAGTTCTTCGGGTCCCTCGGTTTCATCTTCACTTGAGGCGTTGGTTCGTCAGATAAAGTCAGCACTGCCCCCTGCAGCCTCGGGCCCCTCTACAACTCTTTCTCCTCCTGCCTTAGTTTCCATCTCTTCTTACGCCGCACCTATAACATCTCCAGAGAAGCACATGCTCCATGGGCCCAAAGTACCTTTCTTTATCGACTCATCTGGAGGGTCGCATGAAAAACCCGCTCCCCCACGATTAATACCCGCAACTTCCTCAGTGAGTGCAACCCTCACGTCTCCTCGAGTGGCTCCCCATCAGATGTTCAAATCTGGATCTTCAATGTTACCTGGCTCTTGTTTATCAACGTTTGCCTCACAAACTCCTTCAGTTCGTAGTAATGTTTCTGAACCTGCGCCAGCGTCCTGGTGTCAGATATCCACTCCTCCACGTTTTAGCGCAGGTCTTTCTGCTGCTCCTGCACCACCACCAGGGTTGGTAACCTCACCTCCCCGTGCGACCCCGGACAGCCCTACAGTCCGACCTCTGTCCACCCTACCTCCTTTAACCACTCAAGCCTCCAGGACCGTGCCTGCGTCCAACCCTCCTGCCTTGGTGTCCGTGCCTCCGGATGTAGTCAGGTCCTTTAGAGCTGTCCAAAGCTCCGACGCCACGCAGCGCACCCTGATCACCGCTCCGCCTGCACAGATGTGGTCCCCTCCTAAGTTGGAGCGTCACGGTCTCGACGAGGACAGGAAAACGGCGGAGGATAAAAGAGAGGCAAAACCAGAGGATCACGTTCCTCCACTTGATTCAGGCATAATGAGACCGTTACAAGTGGAAGAGACCGAAGTTAAAAAGGCAGACGTCTGCTCATACAAAGCCCTCCCTGATCGCCCAGGAGAATCCTCACAAACTCCAGATAAACCCGATCTAAAGAACACACAAACAGTTTCTGAGAAGCCAGACGAGGACTCGGCTGCAGGTTCCGCCTCACTCGTAAAACTCCCTCAGCCTAAAAACACAAAGCCGCCACATCTGAGCAACGAACAAAGATTTGACGACTCCCCTCATGCCGCCTTTTATTACCAAGACAGTTCGACGTGCGACACCCCCTCTCAACTCAACACCAGCTCTGTCTTGGAGAAGACCTGTCCTTCAGGTGGCGATGGCTCGTTTTTAGGTGACTCCACTCAGTTGGACACATCTCAGTTCGACAGCACGTACAGCAGCTTTTCTGTCGGAGACTCCAGAGACGCTACGCTGGACTCGACCAGGGAAGGGGAGGCACTTGAGTCGGAACGGACGGGGAACAGCAGCCACCTCACAGGAAGCTCCATGCTGGAGTCCTCCTTAAACATCTCACAGTCTGAGGACCCTCCTGTCCACTCAGGTGGTGTGTCCCATCCCTTTGTGTCCCCTCAGCCAGCTCCTCAAGGTACATTCATCAAGTCTTTTAGATTGAGTATTGGAAATAGTGTTTCAAGTGTTTGTTTTAAGTTTTATTTTGTTATTTTAAAAAATTTAAATAGTTTTTGAAGTCATTGCTCTGTTATTTTGAATTCTTCTTCTCTGCCAGGTCCTACACCGAAGTGGGAGCAAAGTGGTTACGATACCCCAGACTCAATTAAACGCATTATTATTAAGACCACCACTAATGATTCGGCAACCCCCTTTTACAAAATTAAAGAGGAGACATTTGTAGCCTTCAGTACCCCAGCAGACAGCCCCACTGCACACCCACACCAAGACGTTTCTGAGAATACTGCGACCCCAGGGAAACCACGCCGACCTCGAGTTTCAAAGGTTATACTGATTAAAACAACAGGTTTGTAAAAGTCCCATTTCACTTCAGTTTTTTTACTCTTTAAGTAATTATTTTGATTTAAAACTTCCTTTTAATATTTTCACTTTAGCTCCAGAGGGGGTCCAGCGGAGGTCCCGAGTTCGAACCCCAAAAGCAGAGAAGGTGAAGGCAGACGAAGTGGGAGAGGTCAAAGAGAAAAGAGCGAGGGGCAGAAAAAGAAAGAAAGATCTCCAGGTCGGCGAAGCAGCCGGCGTGTCGGGGGAGGCTGGTTCTCCCGCGCAGGAGGTCGACCCGATAACGGCTGCAATCGAAGCCGTTCTGGCCAAAGCCTCAGCCATCAGCACGGCCGCCGAGAAACCCAAGAAGAGAAGAAGGGTCAAAAAACAAGAGCAAGAGGGAAACGCAGGGACTGCAGAAACGACTGCTTCTAATGTTGATGAAAATGATGACGACAGCTCCACTGCAGGTAATGAAGCAGGTTCACATTCCTGCTTTCCTCGTTAATCTTATTAGTATTATTTCCCTGCGTCAGGGTTTGTTTCTGAGCCTGTTTGTGTTCATCTTAAACAGGAGAATCAAACAGAAGAAGAGTTGCAACAGAAGAGCAGGTCCAGTTCCCTCTGCAGCACGGGTAACTGTTCTTCTCCCTGATTCTGTCAGTCATTGTTTTCAAAGGCTGTTGCAGATTCCCAGTTTGATTTCTGTGGTTTTAACTACAGATTGAACTTGTTTACTTTGATCTAGTCTGTAAAATACATACAAATGTCGAATTTGAAGATTGTTGAACTCCTCATTCAGAGAAAAGACTATAAACAGCAGTTCTAGTTGAAAATTCCAGCACAATGAAGAGATGCTCCGAGCAGGTCTTTGAACATTTAAAACCATTGGTCATCCGTCCATCTGTGCGTTTTATTTTAATCAAGGATAATGCTCAAACATGTGCAACACTTCATAAGATCATCTCACCTTGTATCATCTTACAACAGGGGTGTCAAACTCATTTTTACTGAGGGCCACATTATGGTGGCCCCCAAAGGACCAGTTGTAATTAACTTTGATGTTTTGTGTTTAACTCAAACTAAACACTAAACGTTGCATTCCTCGTCTCATTGCTACAGCTGAGCTAATAAACAATAACTGAACTCTACCTGGTATTTCCTGCATAGAAACAATGTTTTAACATATCTTCTTATAAACACTGAAAAGTACTACAAGTGAGAGAACAAAATGTGAAATAAATAATACAAAAATACTATTAAAAGTAAAAACAAGAGAGTTTTACTCACTATTGAGTTGTGGTGAGTAGCTGCTGTCTTAAATTCTGAACTCTCCCACTGTCCAACACAGAATTCCCACTGCAGGGGTCAGTCCAGTTCAAATTTACGACTTGTAAGTGGGTAATTCCAACTTCCCAGTACAAGTGGGCAAAGTAGCCAGCAAAAATGCTACAAAATGGTCATTTTACACAGCAAATTTAGCTGGCTGTCGTCTGCTTTCGAACCTTGTGCACCTTCAGCCAGTTATGGAAATGCTGTCATTTTTTACCCACAAATGCATTACGTGCATTATGGGAGATGTAGTTTATGGTCAATGCGGGGTTTAAAGCAGCATATACCTATTTTAAGACATTAATACATTTTAGAAGCTTTGGCGGGCCACAAAAAAGCTGTGGCGGTCCATATTTGGCCTGCGAGCCGTGAGTTTGACTCATGTCTTATAACATCTTATTTGGGACATTTCTATTAGCCAGAGATGTAACAACAAACTGCCTTGCTTGTAGTTGGAAGAGGGAGATTCGTGTGAAGAAAACTGAGAACCGCATGAAGGGAGAGACCTGGTATTACACTCCTTGTGGCAGGAGGATGAAGCAGTTTCCGGAAGTTATCAAGGTGAATTCCCCTGGTTTTTTTCACGTACCCTGACATGCTTTATAAGTTTATAATTTGTGGTCCATGTCATGGATGATCGCGTCAAACCCCGACTCTTTCTTCTCTCAGTACCTGAAGAAACACTCGGACGGCGTGGTCACCAGAGAACACTTCAGCTTCAGTCCACGCATGCCCGTCGGAGACTTCTACGAAGAAAGAGAATCATCTGAGGTCTGAAATAAATGTCTTTTCTCTGTAAAGGATTCTGATTAAAACCCATTAACCCACTCTTCAGGCGACAGTAACATATTCTGTCTTGCAGGGCGCACAGTGGGTTCTTCTGGCTAACGAGGAGATTCCCTCTATGATCATGGCCATCACTGGTCGGCGTGGGCGACCTCCAAACCCAGATAAAGAAAAACCTCAACGGGTTCGGGGCCTGAAGAGGGGCCAGGCTCGCCGCCCCGGCAGACCTCCTAAAATCAAGATGGTCGACCTCCTCAGTAAAGTTGATGCCAAGCTGCTCAAACGTCTCCAGACCAAGGGTGAGTGAACGTTTGGGTTGAGCTCTGTTGTTTGACTTTCAGCTGATTCGTGTTTGGCTTCCTGCTCTTACAGAAACACTTACAGAGGAGGAAAAGGAGAAACTGGCAAAGATCAAAAAGAAAATGAAAAGAAAGGTATATCATCCAGACTGGTTTCAGTGTTGAATTGTTACACGTTTCAGATTGAATCATCATTTTGTTTTGTTTTTTGTTTCAGGCAAGAATGAAGAGACGGGAGGATTTAAAGGTTAAGAAGATGAAAGAGGAGAAAAAGAGAGCCAAGGTTAACAGTCAATACTAAATAATAGACATCGATGTCCTCGGCTTCATGTCTTTTTTACGTGCGAGTTTTCTCGTTTCTCCGGGGGTTTTTAGCTCGAGCAGGATGTCAAACCCCTGGAGGTGAAGGCTGAACCAGCAGACCCCGCAGCCCCGCAGGCCACGGACGGGGAGTGCGTGGAGGAGGTAAAAAAGCCTGGCCGCAGGAGGTCTGTGAAAAGCGAGGCCGCCTCTCCCGTCCAGCAGGCGTCCGCAGAGAAGGCGCCCCAGAGCAACAGGGCGACGAGCGCTCGCAGCAAAGCCAAGGCCCTGGCCAAAGCCCAGGCCGAGGCCGAGGCGGCAGCTCAGGCCGCTCTGGCAGCCAAAAGAGCAGCCGAGCGCAGAGCTCTGGCCCAGAGGCGTCTGGAGGAGCGGAAGAGGCAGCAGCTGATCACAGAGGAGCTGAAGAAGCCCACAGAGGACATGTGTCTCACTGATCACAAGGTGAGCTGTCAGTTAAAGCACGTTGTTATCTTTGGTGTTAAACTGGTGTTAAGTTCCTGTGAACGTTTCCCTCCTCCAGCCTCTGCCTGAGCTGTCCCACATTCCCGGGCTGGTTCTGTCTGGAGCGGCGTTTGCACACTGCCTGGCCGTGGTGGAGTTCCTGCACGGTTACGGAAAGGTGGTCGGTCTCGACGTACCCAAGGACATCCCCAGCCTCGCTACCCTGCAGGAAGGTCTGCTCGGCCTGGGCGACAGCCAAGGAGAGGTCCAGGATCTCCTCATAAAGCTGGTGGAGGCGGTACTGCAGGATCCAGGCCTGCCGTCTTATTATCAGGTGTGTGATCACGCTTCAGTGTTGATGTCATTAAATCATCATCACAGGGCCACAGCTCCCAGCTGACAAAACAACTCTTCTATTAACAGCAATTCCAACTGGATCTGTGTCACAATGTAATATTTAGTGTTAATAATATGTGACCCATCACATCGAAATGAGGATTAAGTCCAGAAGTGGAAAGTAGAGAAATGAGCAGATACAGTATTTTGATTTAAATGTGTGCAAAAAATTGCGTTTTGTCAAAATATAATGAATGCCTTATCAATGTATCGTTTGAATGAACTGTATGAAATATAATCCTAAAAAAAAATTCTTCAAGCATTTTTCTGAGCAGTAGCAACAAAAGACCTGATTTTGAGGAAAAACGCCTTAAAATTTAGAATTTTTCCCTGTGAGTTAGCAATGATTTTGTTTCTTTCCAACTGGGAAATCTTAATATACAAATACTATTTGAGGTTTCCTCTTTATATTTACATTAAAAAAATACTCTATAAATTTACATAAAAATAGGATTTAGTCCAAATATTAATGTATTATTTTAACCAACAAGACAAATTAGGTCATATCTCTGGATAAGCTTATGATATCAGAATGATCCAGGTATAAAAAAGTAGCTTTTAAAGCAGGAATCTGAAAATGTGATGAGGTCATTTTGACCAAATTTGACTTAATCCTC